GTATAGAATTTATCTAATAATCATACCGGTGAAATGTTTAAAAAAATATTTTTTTAAAATTATTAATTAAACATACTCTGGACTGAAATTTGCTAGACAACCCATATGGATTATATTTATTGACATATTAAATTTAATATAAAATACGTTTCATTAAATAAGCATCTCGGTGAAGGTCGTTATATAGCGGGATCTTATACTATTAGTATTTAATATCTCATAGATGAAATTGTATTTAGTGTGACATTTATAAGTAATAGCAATTTCTGGACTCAAAAACTGTGTTTACTATCAGATCTACTATTTAAATATTTTTATTAATTAAATATGTAACTATTTTCAAAATTTTAGTTCAAAGTAGCATCCACAGAACTATAACTGTGGAGAAAAAATATTAAGGAAAGAAAGAAAAGTTAAACAACTCGAGATCTTCGCAGACTATTTCAATATGAAACTGAAACTTCAAGTACTGGACAGTATTTAAAGAGACGAACTTCTAAGTAATTGTAGCCTTCAGTATTATGAGATACAGAAATTGATACATACATCCTGGTACTGCTAAACGACTTGGAAAACTACTTAAGTACTTAATTCTATGTATAATTTTATTCATGACGCTCATCTGATGATACTCCTACAGGAGGTAGGCACCAAGGTTTAGATAAAGAGCAACACTACCTTAAAGGCCGGTAACGCTTGCAAGGTTTCTGGTCTTGCAAAATTCCATGGGAGGTGGTAGGCACTTTATAATAAGCCACCTGCATGTTTGCCTCCTGTCTCATAAAAAAGAGCGTGCGCCCGCGATTTTATATATAAATAAGATTTTTAAGACAATGTTACATATTTTTGAATTGTTAACATAGTTTTGATTAAAATTAATATTATTTGGGATATATAAATATATTCCATAATGTCATGGTTGTTTTATCTTTGTATTGTGTCTGCCAAATACGTTTAGAAATGATTTGTGTATAATTAATACAGTAAATTAAGTATAGATTGTGGAAGGAGCCTGACTTGCTTAATTAGATAGGACTGGGTAGTCCAAGACAACAACAACAACTGTTACTGTTTAAAAATGTAAAGTATAAAATTCATAAATAAAGTGTATATAAATTTATACTATTGTATTAGCCTAATGCAGTGGAAATTACTAATTTTCGTTAGCAATATTAATCACTATGCTGTGGTTAATGAGTTGTCTAGAACATTAGCCGTATTAGCTAATGTAATGATCAGAATATTGCTATTAAGGATCACCATCTCCTGATAATCCTTTCACTATAATTTAATTCACTATAGGTATAACTATATTAGCTTTGTGCCATTCGAAACAAATTCCTGTAATCGATATAAACACGAATTTATTTTAAGGAGACTGTTTTATTGAAATAACTTAATAAATTAAATAACTGCCCTGAAACTATCTACAAGTTCACACTTGTTAAATATTAGTCAAATATTTATAATTATATTAGTAGTAGTTAGTATATAATATTATAACAGTCAAATATTAATAATCTGGTGAATCGTAACCAATTTCAATAGCTTGCGTTTATATATTATAGAATCTTTAACACAGAAACATTTGTATATAATTAATTTTTTTGACCGACTATTTACAGTTACAACACAAAAATATTAAAAAATACAAAGAAACAACATCAATAAATTATAAATAGTATAATAATTTAACAAATAACACACAAACCTATATTCTTTAAGCGCGCCAAACGTCTTTTAAGCGTTTGAGTGCCAAGGAGCGCGATCGCGATCCTATGTGACAAAATTGCCAGGAGCACTGTCGCGCTCCTAAAACCAGTTGACATCAAAATCAACGATTATTCTTTTGCATTTTTAGGCATACACGAGTAAAAACCAATAGCACTCAAACAGAGGCGCCAACTGTGTTGGCACTTGTAATAATTAGAATTAATTATTGATACTTTTTTTAATTATTCACCGTTCAATGGTAATTTAATAATCAGTGGCGCTACAAAATTTTAGATTTGGGCCTCAGATTTCTGTATATGTTTCATGATCATTTGTCAATCTTATGGGCAAGTAGGAGTTCACTCTGTGACTAACAAACGCTGTCTACTTTTAAGGCAAGCCGGTTTCCTCGCGATGTTTTTCACCGTTCGAATGTTAAATAATAATAATAATAATAATTTTTATTAATCAGACAAATACAGTCCATTGATTGATTAGTGAATTAGTAACAATAGTTTCTTAAGATCTATGTTAGAGAATTAGTAAAAATAAGGAAAAAGTAGTTAAATAAAAACTATCAGGTACAAAGCCCTGCGGAGATGTCGGAGCAGTGTCGTAAATAGGGGCACTCCATTCTTTCGGCTATCATCCGTAAGATGTTGAATTTCTTTAAATGCGCACATATAAAGAAAGTCCAATGGTGCACAGCCGGAGATCGAGCCTACGACCTCAGGGATGAGAGTCAAGCGCTGAAACCGCTAGACCCACCCTGCTTTAATAGGTAATATCATAAATATTAACAAAACTTTTGTGGTTAAAGAGCCTTTCAACAACTTTTAACTGTTACTGTTAACTATGAAAAGAATGAAACGTTGGCGTGGCTGATTAGTCAGCATTTCTAGTCCATAATCACGTGTTCCTTTTTTTTAGACCAATAACAAACAAACGAAACGCGCCGTTTTCTATTTTTCTACACTTTTAACGGCCCTCGTTTCACTACATAGAACAAACGATGGCAAAATTAAAATTATGCAGTGTATCTTAGTTTGTACTAAAAATTCAGGCGCGCAGTTTTTTATTATTATTCAGGAGAACTCGTGAATTTTGCTGAGGGTGTAAATATAAGGGGTGTCTTAAAAACTGCACTTTATGCTAAATACTCTTTACATAGACCTCAGCTCTTATAATGCAGAAGGGTTTTTAATGGGATACATTATTCTATACGCTAATGTGAATTATTGTTATGATCCTACAGGATATTTTGCGTAATTTTATTTTCAGCCTTCCAGCGTTGTACTTTGTGCTACAGGTGTGCACTTTACATACGATTTATTTGAGCATATTTAGAAGAACTCAGTTCGAGATATATACGTAGAGATATGCTGTTTACATAATTAGTATATCTATATATCTTTTAATTTATACTTTTCGGTAAAAATCTAAATACATAACATGGAAAATAGATATAAAAATTTAGAACTTTGCGAACTATCCCTCCGAAATTAGCTTATATTTTTTACAGTATTTTCAATATTCTTAACCTATACAGTATTTAAAATATTAAAAATGGATAGAAAACTAAAACAAATTTAAAAAGTTTTGTCCCAGTGGCAATGAAGGCTCTAGGGTCACGGCTTTATATATTTTTTTTAATAAAATAAAGAACAAAGAGCTGTGTTGGCCTAGTTGTCATAGGTTCGATCCCCGGCTGTAAACTAATAAACTTTCTTTCTGTGCGCATTTAACATTCGCTTGAATGGTGAAAGAAAACATCGTGAAGAACCCGGCTTGCCTTAGACTCAAAAAGTCGACAGCGTGTGTCACAGGAGGATTATCACCTACTTGCCTATTACATTGACCAATGATCATGAAACATATAATGAAATGTTAGGCCCGATACAAAACTACATAAACTTTTTCTTTATTACATTATTATTATAACCTATACGTATTACACAGGATTAGCACAATGAAAGATTTTTACAGAAATATAACATTTTACTAATGTCACAAATCCGTACCCAACTTACTTAACAACTTACGTACGTTTACAATTAGTCTCCTGACATAGCAAAACAGTAGATTTAAGTTTTTTTGGTTTTATATATACTTAGAAGAAAATATCCTTTTAAAGCCACAATTATGCTTTTAAAGTTCTATAGTTGAACTAGGGAAACAACACTGCACGCATTTAAAATGTCTAATAAAGAATTAGACGCAACAGATCAAAAATATTTAATTTCCCCATTATCAAGAACTTGATGTAATATTCTGTACAATATTTCGTACGATTAAAACAAATGGTTTAAAAATATGTTAAATAAATACTTTTTTGCCTTTTAAAGCCTAATAAGGGAAACAACACTGCACGCATTAAAATGTGTTATAAAAACCATCACACATATTTAATTTCCCTATATCCCTATATCGTTATTTTCTGAAAGATAAAGTACGATTTTAACATATAAAACAAATGGCATATAATATGATAAATATAAAATACATTTAACTATAGAACAACGTAAATATTGGTGAATTTTATGTACTTTATTAATATAAGCAAATTTGTCACTTTAATACCTCAGGAACAAAGATACTTAACGTCTGTTTAATTATCGTTCGTCCAACGCTTACCAACTTTGAGTGCATGCAACATTTAGTGTCAAACAACGCTCCAACAAGATACATTTTAAATAAGAATTACCAAGTGAAGGAGACGGAGGAAGTTGTCCAATGGCGTCTAACTATTACTCTGAGAAATGCCAATTTAAACTTGTAACGAGGTTTCCCGCAAGTGGCTGCGGAATAAAATTAAAAACTCAGAGCAACGGATAGCAACTGGGTGCCTGTAACGGGCCTAACTTTTAGCTTGACTTTGTTAGGCCGACGGCAATTTTCGATATTTTTTTTATTTTAAATCGAATTTTGGGCGAGCGTGACACCTATTTGACATGAAATTTTATAAGAAATATTACGTTTTTACAGCACTAAAATACATTTACTTGAATTAAACCTATGTTAGTTGACTGCCTGTATTGCATTGCTTCGGTAACCTGATATTGCAAGATACGGTATCCGCGATTTGTCAGGCATAGAAAACTACATCATATTTCGTTGGAGGTTTAAGGATTAAAAAACTGAAACGGAACAGCTTGGTCATTACATGATTTCAAACAAATGTATGCTTCTAAGTTTACATTTACTGACAGATCTAAAATCAAGGGCGTAGATCCGACGGAAAACACTGGCAACAAACTGCCCGTCACTCTTCAAATCACTCACGCATTCTACTGGTTCTGGGACCCAGTGTCTTCGCCTTCAAAATAAGCATTTTCCAGCACTCTCTTTCCTATGCTACCTCCCACTAATTGCTGGCTTTCAGCTGCAGTAGGTCCTCCTCTGTCGATCCAGCGGTACGTAGGCAGACCTAGTGGTCTCCAACCACTAGGCTGGCGCAGGTAAGCCTCCTTCACCACCCAATCTGGGCCCATGCGCTCAAAGTGCCCAGCCAACATAGTCGCGATAAATATACGAATAGATACAAATAGCGCTTGTTCACGAGTACGCCGAATGGCCAGACATCGCCATATTATAGGTTAAGACAATCCGACGCATGGACGACTCCACAAGCAATGACATTTACTGTGCTGGACGGTCCTGGAACTATGAAGTTTGACAGATTAGAATTAATTGATACCACATGGAAATTCCATTACTACTCAACTTTGAAATTGTACAAAGAAACAAAAATTCTAACAACGACAACTATAATGGCAATGTACCGACTTTATTGGACACAATCACCGGTCACACCACATCATACACAACGCAAACCTACGTATAAGCGACCCAAAAACGCAATTCACCCAATGCGTTTTCTCCTTTAGAGGCCCTTTAATATTTCTCTTTTAACTACACACCCTTTACAATTATGTGTATTAAATTTTATTCTTTCTTTTTTTTTCTTTCTTTTATTAGTTATTAAAGTAGACTTGGATGTTGACGATCACCCCAACTCTGGAAAAGCAACCAAGAAGATACCATAACATTTAATACTTACGAAACACACAAAATAATAATGAAAAAAGAAAAATAACTAAACATTATGAAGAAGAAAAAAAGGAATAAGGTACATTTTAAGTGTGTAATGTATGCGAGCTGTGGTTGTAACTGGCCCTCGCTCAGCATTATGCTTTGGAGCAGTCGTGTTCCACAGCGCCAGAATAGTTCGTTAGTTAGATCCAGCCGTGTTATCTATTTCCTATTTGTTTATATAGTGATGAACTACAGCAAATCACAGCCAAGTACTACTAACATCATTAAAATAATCATTTATGTTATAGTAGGTTTAAGCAAGCAGGTTTCTGTTCACGTGTGATTTGAATTTATTTATTGACAAACACTTGTATGTGAGGTGCAGGAAGGTAGGGATATTATTAAAAAGACGAAAACTTTAATAAAAGTGAAGTTATTACTTTAGCCTTTACTATCCAGCTTGGACCTTGAAGGAGGCAACCATTAAGAAACTTGACGCCTTTGAAATGTGGTGTTACCGAAGAATGCTGAGGATAAGCTGGGTCCATAGAGTCACGAACGAAGAAGTTCTACGGCGCGCCAAACGATCCCGAGAACTCACGTTGAACATTAAAAAGAAGATAAGTTACTTGGGACATGTGTTTCGACACAAACGGTACCGACTTCTTCAAGAAATCATGATGGGCAAGGTCTAGGGGAAAAGGCGCGCTGGCAGAAGGAGGAAGTCGTGGCTCCGCAATATTAGAGAATGGACGGGAGTGGCCAGCGTAGAACAGCTGATGCGAAAAATAAGAAGGAGTATGATGAGCTGACCGCCAACCTCCACTAGTAGAGAGGCACTTCAAGAAAAAGAAGAAGAAGATCCAGCTTAGTCAGAATAAACAACGCAAAAAAAGTCTACTTGCTAACTATGTTTTCAGTTCTAGAAATTCAAATATAATCCTCTCAAATCTCAATACAAATAGTACAGGTCACAATAATTAATATAAAGCAAGAAAGTTTCGAGATAAAATAACACCTGTCTACAACACTCGTTAACAGTATTACTAGACTGGAATGATACTGAAAATTACATAACAAGAATGAACTTATATCAAATTTCATTTAGCAAGTGAGTCACGTATAAGAGTTAAAACTAGTGCAGTTGGAAACAAACAGATACGAAGTGTTACAGTCCAGATGGCAAGACGTGTACGTGACGAGAATGGAGTCGCTATTCAATATCGAAATATTAAATAGGTTAAAACATGACCGCTTTACTCAATTGATCATTTGATATGTATTTTGATAAAATTTGTTATTGGGTTACTAATCAATATAAAGGCAAATAGGTGATCAGACTTCTGTGCCTAATACACTAGCTTGTCGTCGATTTCAGGGAATGCTGGTTTCCTCACGATGTTTAATTTCACCGAACAAGGAAGTATTCATTGCGTACATAGAAAGAAATATATATGGGTCCACAGCTGTATTTCAAAGAAACGACGTCAAAGTTGAGAAGAAGGCTCAAAGAGCGGAAAATCAGAAAATGTATCTATTGTTTTTCATTGTCTATTGTAGTAAAGGGTTTTACACTTCTTTGATACCTAAGTATATAATGTATGTTATATTAAGTATATAAAGATGTAATAGTTTTAAAAAATTTCCACAACACCAATACTTCATGTGTATTTATGTGCAAGAACACAAGATACAGCTATTAATATATTCTTGTGACGGCTTGAATAAGTTACATTACGGTATTAATTTCGACGTCCACGATAAGTCGTAAGGCAAAAAAGCATTTTTAGGAGAGCAATTTTTGTGTACGTTAATGATAAACTTAATTTGTTAAACATTTTTAACCGATATTTTTGCACTATGCGATTAATTATTAGTTACAAAACATTGCTCTCAAAGCTGGATGCTATAAAAAATTATATTTATGCAAAATTACTAATTTTAGTTACATACGACCTTATACTCACTAGAAAAACGTCGTGTCTTATTGTTACGACTTTATGCTTTTAATCAGGTTGTTATAAACAACGCGAATAAAGTCGTATGTTTGAATTACGACATTATGCTAGCGTAAACTGCCATAAGGTATCTCGAAAAGGTGGTCGATGTGGTGGTGGTACTTCATGAATAAAAACAAAAAAAATGTGTAGGCTAAAACTAGCTTTATTAAAATATCTATAAGTATAGGAACATAATGCAGTCTTCTTTCATTACACCATGAACAGTATAATAAACGTTTAATAAAAAAATAACATAGCTTCACTAATAAAATTAAAACTGGCCAGTGAGTCTTTGGAGCACAGATAGATTAATGAAATAAAAAATGACTACAAATAAAAAATAAAAAATAAGACTGATAAATCAAGTTAAAAGGAAACAAAAAATATTTAAATCTTCAAAATAAAATGAAAATTACTTTAAATTAGATATTGAATCATCTTATACATAATAGACCTTTAGATTTATGATAGAATATCAGTGATGTAATTGACGGTTATTCAGAGGAATCACTACTGTTCTGTTCTGCAACATTGCCGCTGTGTGACAACTGTTGATAAAAACTATGGTACTCTTGAGGTATTATACGTCCTTGACAAAAGACTTAATAAATCATTAAACTTTGCTAATGTAATAGGTAAATGGTCAGAGTAAATGGACCTAAAATTTATGTATGTAATAAATTATTATTTTTCCTTCTTGATGAATAATTTTTTTGGTTATTAAACTCATAATGTTATTTACTTCTTCAAAATTATAACGATAGTTCAAAATATAGGGTTCGTTGGACACTACCTGAACTTCTTAATTTGTTCCATGATATTTTTTGGTTTTTAGTATTTTTAGCCCAATTTCTACCGTCTAGCAAAATTTTATAATTGTAAAAATGTAACACTCATTTCAATTACATTATAATTTGGGGGTTGACTTTTGACCATCTAACTAAGGCAAACCACTGTGAGGAGTATATATAAGTTTATTTTTGCATTTCTCTCAATCAAAGATGAATAGTGGTTATTTGGTGTGCCGCGTCTAAAAACCTATGAATATCGTTATACCATACTTTTTTGCTACATAGGTATAACATGCAAACAAATAGGTTTCTATTTTGGCGGAAGTTATCGGACCAAACCTGAATTCTTTGGACCTTGACTAACTTTAGTTTTAATAAATTTAGACAAGCAATTGCTACTTAACGCCATGTTTGCCATTAACCTCGGACCACATGTAACAATAACCTTCTTGACTAGCTAGATCAAACACAGTAAAATTATAAATTGAAGTTTTCTTTTATAATAAAATAAACCGACATTGCCATGGGGACAGTTTAAAATTTTTTGGAAATCAAAACAGCCGTAACTATTTTTCCTTTGCTTTCCAAAGCTTCCTTTTTATATTTGCCTTCACTTCTCTAGCTTTAGTCTTATTTGAGGAATTGTTTTGTTTTTCTTCTTCTGTTGTATTTAAGTTTGTATTGTAAAGGATATGAGATGTCTTTTTCGGTTTGTGAAATGATAATAAATTTTGATTTATGATATCTCGAACTGTTATGTCATTGTTTTTAGTTATATTTTAATGTACACCACTCATTGTATAATGAAAACATTTTGTAAATGATAGGTCACTCTTAGTAAATTTTAGTAGTGTCCTTACGCACATAATGAGATTAAAGGTGGAACGTTTTGACAGTCTTAAAACATTGTTTCATTTCGTCGTCAATAAAAGTTTGGTACCACCAGCCGATAGGAAAAAAGACCCACCACCTGAACTCATTTTGCCAATGCTGTTTGAAAGTTCTCTCCCCTACAGAAAGTGTGTTTAGGAACATCGTTTTGAGACAAACACTCTAATAGGTATGGAGAGTTTGGTTAAAAGAGGAAGCAATACTTAATGGATTTCTTACGTCTAGAAGTAGAAGGATATAGTGTGTATTGGTATGATTGACGATGTAATCATTGCGAGTGATCTCAATTTGCCAAAAAGAACAAAATATACGCTCCGTTCTTGTGCATTAAATTTTGTAAAGCATTTAAGTCGGCAAGTAGTGGAAGGTTGTTCAAAATCTTCCATCTGAATCATTTTGCTTAAATAGGCTTTCCCTAAATTTTTTAAAATTTTCTTTTAGTCTTTCCACTATAGGGAGGTGAGTTTCTTCAATGTGAGGTGTACTTTCATTTGACGAACATAAGAAGAATCCTGACTCGAAGGTTATAAGTGTGGTGTGTGCTCTACTAACACTAAAGTTGAACCATAATTATTATCATCACAAATAGATGAGTTTCTAAATAAGGAGTTGAAGTGGCCAACTGTACTCGAAAAAATGTTATTGGGGAGGGCATTGGGTAAAGAAGGTTCTATTATATCAGTGATTGGAGAAAACTTTCAGAATAGCTTGAATCATACATCTTATAGTTTTTTCATTTGGATAGAGAGAAGTGAGGATTTTGCTTCCGTATTATACGTTACCTGTGAATACTTGTTA